TATATATATATATATATATATCTTTGTGTCAATGGTGGGCAGTCGAATATCAAATACCATTTCAATTTCGAATTTATTTGCTAAATAGTCATTGTCCAGGCTTAAATACCATAAAGAGCATAAACGATCTTACACCCACATATATATGCATAGACTTATTTATTTTCTCCCTTTTGGTGACATATCTCATCATACTAACCATGCTTGACGACTTTTACGAATTGAGAAAAGCACATAAACATAATTCAACAAACCTGTTCAAGTGTCCATACAAGATGTGGCTGATATTTTGTTAGAAATGTAACTGGACCAACCTGCCAAAGAACAAGATTCACCCAATTCCCACAACTTTTATTCAGAAATAATATCAAAAAATTGAAGAAATCAAGTGAAATAAATACTTTTATTCACTTGTATTAGAATATGTTAAAGGAATAGTTATGGACTTACAGCCTGCCCATGGTATACTTTTTCTATTGCCTCACTTGCAGCACTAGCCTTCAATATTGCATCACTAGAAGCACTGGATTCAACATCAAATCCCGAGGCACGCCATCTGGGGAGGCCTCCATCTAATACCCATACTCTATCATGTCCAAAAACTCGGAACATCCTACAAGAATTTCCCAATAAAACCAATCACTTTCTTCAGGGTTACATCAGCAAAGAGGCGGACCCAGATGTTTTTTTAAGTGGTTGCACAATTTGACTATAAAAATAAATATATAATTTTTTTACAATATTGGCATAGATCGGTCGGTTGGTTCTTTGTCCCTGCAAAGAAGGAACCTATGTTCGAGTCCTGGTTATAATTTTTTTTAAAACACAAAAGGTTATATAAAAAACACCAGAAGGTAAGCTGAAAACTAAGAAATTTGACAAAAATGGGACTCAAAGAGGGCCTTTTGTACAAAGTCAGCAACATTTACCAACTCCGTCATTAGAGAGTTGTGCCCAGATTTCAGTTCCAAATACTACATGGGCACCTAACAAAACAATACAGTGGCACCCTTCAGAAATATAATTTTTTCCCTTGCGACGGAACAATGAAGTTGTGACCCATGCCACCGTATGCTCCTATGTAGGTCCGGCTGTCCACCCCTGCATCAACATGGTATAAACCATAGCAGTTAAGTACTTGTAACTCACCACCAGACACGAGCGGCACTGAAGATCCCTTTACCATCATAAACAACAACTCCATCTTTGTTTTCAATACCAAGAGCAGAAACAGCAGCAGCAAATGCTTCATCGGATGGCAACATGTGTGGCAGCTGAATCATTCGAGAGACACATAGAGAACATTAATTGATTTCCTTTTTTCAGGTCCCAAACTAAGTTTTATTTCAAAATAGTACATAAAAAGAAATAGAAGAGAGCATCTCACATTAGTGGTTCGGTCTGATATCCCATCTACATCAAAGAAAAGAGCACCAGGAATGTGGGCAACCTGTTGAAATCCCCTCCAAAATGAAATAGGAAGAGAGAATACAGAACATAAAATAGTGGAAACAGAATTTGTCAAATAGGCTACTCAAGAAAGGAATGTACCCTTTTGAAACTTAGGGGCTGTTTGGTTGGTTTCCATTAAGTACTGTATGGATAAAGTTGTTTGTGTGGATTAATCTGTTTGTTTAGATTGGGAAGGCTTTTTTTTTTTGGGGGGGGGGGGGGTTCTCAACTTCTCATGGATGGAGTGAGCAAGGAAGGGCAGATTTAGAAAAACTTGGCTTTCTGCATAAAGCTCCCCCCTAGAAGCTTACTAAATAAGACACTTTCTATATCACTAAGCCACTATCAAACAGTCATGTATAGCTGATCGAATAAGCTATGAGTCCCATTAAGCTCATTAAGCTGCTAACAAACAGGCCCTTAAGTTCCTTGCAACATTCATAACCAAGTAATTGTCACATAGATGAGTTAACAAATTATAACATGCACCTGATACTCTTGAAGTGGATTTCTCTGTTCATCAGGCATGTACCAGGATGCATCCAACACCTGCAAGTATATCCATAAAACTAACATGAGAACAATCATCGTAGAATACTGCCCACACATATGCCAAGTATATCCATATTGTTGGTGATTTTAGTGTCATCAAACATGTTGGTGTAATTAGGATCGACTAGGTGATTGGGCAGACATAATGTGAGTTAGGAGGTGTGGAGCCCAAACTTGCAAATGTCATCCCTATCACCTTAGATCGCCATAAGGTGGGGGTGCCTCTAGTGGGATTATTTAGGAATTATAAGTTTCTGGACCTGCTGAATGAAATTTAGAAGGTTAGAAACTTAGTGTTTTGGAAACTAAGGGGCCGTTTACCAGACTCTTACCCCCGGGTAAGTGTTTACCGGTAAAATTCAACACTATCACTTACTTACCGGGTAAGATTTTAGTCCACCAAAACGGTATAATGCAACAATTTACCCGGTAAGCGCTAACCATGGTAAGAGTCGTCACCCTCACTTACCGGATAAGACTCTCGTCCTTGCCTTTGCTCTTATCGGGTAAGATTGTTGGTCCTTATCATATTCATCCGGTAAGGTAATGTGACTTGATACGCACTTACCTGGGTAAGCGTTTGGTAAACGGCCCCTAAGTATAGATTCAGAAGCCTCTGAGTTTGCATCAAAAGCTTCTGATTGAGAAGGGTTCCTAATCAGAAGCTTCTGAGTCAGTTTCTGATCTATTTTTCAATCCTATCCACAAGCCCCTATAACTGTTTATCTATTAAATGCCTAACTACCCCGTAACTGTCGATCTCTCTTATAAATGTATAAAGCGGTCAATCTAGTGTATATATACTCAAGTTTTCTGCTTTAAGACCAGTGTGACTTCTTGGACTATTCCAGTACTGATTATGTGAAACCTAAGGCATAGCCGCATAAAGAGTCGAAATATAGTAATTTGAAAAGTACTCTTAATACACAATCCAAAGAATTATCCAAATGATTGCAACCATGAAACCCATATTCTCAACACATACAACTCATATGGGAACAATTATAAATATTACAAATTAGAGGTTTTGACTTTCATAGAAATATTCCTAGTTGAAAAGTATCCAGCCTTTTCAGGAAAATATATTTTCTATTCATGCGATATCGACTATCGCATCACTCCACCACTTCACTCATTTGAGTACATTAAACTGACCTATCAACTCCAAACCTCTGCAATTGGCTAGAATAATAATAACTCAGAGAGAACTTGTAGCAGACAGTTTGCATAATTATTCTTCTAAATGGAGTAAATTGCTTAAGAAAGTGGTCGGACTTTGTCGACTGTAACACGAGCATAACCATACACATGCTTTCATAAAACCCCAAAGCTGAAGTTCACATAATGTCAAATTTCGCCCTATTAGAACATGCATAGTGTTTTCTCAGAAATGAATAGAATAGAATGAAAACGTAAAGGCCTCTATGCTCTTAACATATGCCAATTGAGCACCTAATGTCCTGTGTTTAAGAACATAGATCAGCCCAACACCAAAAGGGGAACAACATTAGTGAGTCAAGCCAGTACCTTGATATCAGGTTCACGCAGATTGGCATGGAGCCAGTCAACTGAAACAACAGGCTCGGTAGTCGACATGGACTGTGTTAAAAAAGTAGCTGTAGATCCAACCGCGGTTGAAGCCATGTCACTACGAATTGAGGAAGTACTCATATACGCCATACGAGATGAGGAAGCCCACAAATGAAGGGGTTTCTTCTGAAAAATGATAAAAGAATATAGATATATGAGGTACTGGAAGTATATCAGAACTCTAACAAAGAATAGTTTCATGTGGTTAAAATTGCAAAAAACTTTATTAACCTCAAGAAAATAAATGACACTTCAAATACCAATCTTTTTCTTTTACTTTCCCCCCTTTTGCATAGTTCTATTCTTCTAACCAATTTAGTACCATTTCTTTTGAAGTTTATGGGACTTATAAAGGAGATATCTTCCACTTTTGCCATTGGATGTTAAGCAGTATGCTCAATATTTTGCTTAAATAAAATAACAATGAACTGAAGCTTGCATAAAACATAATTTTTTTGCATTCAACAAGTGTTTGGTTTGAATTCCAGAATCAAACACATGGTGGGCATCTGATTTTTACCAAGCAAAATAGCATCAATCCAACCTAAGAGAGAAAGATTTGATTATGTTTATGAGACAATCAACAAGCTTCAACGATTCAATTCGGCACCTAAGTTGATCATGTCAGAATACAAGAATCAAATCAACTACTGCTATCTAACGATTACGAACCTACCAATGATAAAACTACGTATTGATATGATCAAAATCAACATGATAAAATTGGTAAAAATCAGAATACTTACAAAGAGAAGGGACGCCAATTTTTGGGGCTTTTGATTGAGGGCGAAAGACGAAACAACACGATTTGCAAAGAAAGTTCTTGAAAGAAAGGCGGATGCCATTTGATCAGAAACCCTGAAAAGATACTACAAACACCATATATATAAACAAGCGGAATGGCGAAATTAAGCAACCGTTTTATAAGCAATTGATGAAATTGTTGTTGATCATCTCAACAACACAACACAGCAGCAGTCGTTCACTCTTTATTCTGTCTACTCCAATCCAGGTAGTTTGTCTTTAGCATGATACCGACGAAGAAAAGGGTTTGTATTCTTAAAAGTAATCATCAGCCCTTGGAATTTCAAAAAAGTGCAAAATGACCCCTATGTTTTGAAATCTTTTTCTATCCATATTCTTACTTTTTAGTGCCCGTTTGGCAGGAAGAATTTGGATTTCGTGGAATGATTTGGAATCGGACTTTGAATTTTTGGTGTATTTGGGTTATTGGATTCGAAATGAGACTGGATTTCATTCTTTATGAAATAAAGAGTAAGATACTGTTTACCAAACACTTATCGGCAATTAGTTGCTACTTTCATGTAACTTATTGGGTCACATTCTCGGCCATCAAAATGAATTGTTGGTAAACATCTTTTACTTGGTAAGCATTTACTGGTTAAGGGTCTTTTCTCTCACTTACCGGCTAAGATTGTCAATCCTTGCTATTCCTCTTACCGGATAAGATTTTCAGTTTTTTTCATGTTCACTCAGTAAGGTAAGCGTTTACCCTGTAAGCGTTAAATAAACAGCCCCTAAGTTACATTTTTATGTGGTTTTGGTTTCTATGGTCTGTAATTCATTTGCTATTTTCGTTCTTATAATTTACTGTTTATTGTTGTTTTCAGTTTTTATGGTTTATAATTCTTTTTTTTTTTTTGGTTCCTTTTACTTGAAGGTGGAAATTAATCCAGGAATTAAAATAGTAATTGCAATTTCTAAACCAAAGAGATAAAAATTAACGGACCATGGGGACGAAAGTTGTAATTTACTTAAAAGTAAATTGTAAAAATAATTAATTTACCTTTTTATTAATTGATTTATAATAAAACAAATGTTTTTTAACATATTTTAAAACATTATTACAAAAAAATCTTATGAAAAACTGCAAGATACCAATTACTTCATGGGGTTTGTAAATGTCATGTTTGTAGAATTTCAATTCATGACTTTAAACCAAATGCAGGATTGAAATGGAATTCAATTCCAAATCCCGGAAAAATCCTACCAAATTACGGACTTTCCTTTTTATGATATTTTCTAACTAATTATTTGAACAGTTGATCGTGGATGCTTTAACGCATCCATTGCACTTTATGCCTCGTGCTTATTCCTACAATTTGAATCAATTCCCCACACGGAAATGCTTCACATAATTGTATCAGGTCCCTTATACTTCTTTAATAACGGCGGTCTGCATTATCCAACCTTGATTGATTAAGTCTACAAGATTTGACTTAAATACCAGATATAATTAAATCAGATAAAATTATTATGAATGAGAATTTGATATAACCCACATAAGGATTGATAACACCATCCAATACGATACAAACATTAAGGAGATAATTTTGTTTACCGAATTCCATTTTTGTGTTTGGTTCACATTCATAAGCCTCCCCCGCCACCATCATCGCAAATTTTATTAATTTTATTGTTGTCATTTATAACTCAAGCCAAAAAAAGTACCAAAAATGATATAAATAAATATTTTATTCATTTATAATTATTTCATTACAATTTTGAAGTTATATCCTGCGAACCATACAGACATATTCCAATTACTTTGACATATTCTGTTCCATTTCTTGCCAACCAAACATCTGTGTCATACATTATTATAATCAATTTTATTCTAATTCCTTCAAATTCCAATTCTTTTTTACACATTCCATTCCCTACAAAAATATTCTATCAACCAAATGGCCCCTAAACCTCTTGTCACGTTAGCGGCACCAAAGATCCTGTTACCATCATCAACACCAGTCGCATTTTTTACAAGTATTATCTTACAATGAGATAAAAGGAGTTCCACATATCATAACATGCTTGTGATATTGTTGGAGTGGATTTCAGTTCGTCAAGCGTATACCAAGATACCTACAAGCATACTCGTACAACTAAAATGGGATCAATCACCATAATAGAAATGTTCTAATTGGAGGCAACTTCAATTTCATGAAAACTAAATGTGTAACAGTATATCTATACTACATATATAGGCATTTAAGACAAAGTCTTAATTACAATTCTTGAAGCTTAAAGTACTATCATTTTATGCAACAATTTCAAAAATCTCTTAATTACAAATTCTTATGCATAATGTACAAGCTTTTTATGCAAGTATTTCCACAACATCAAATTTTAATTGGGTCAAACTTACCTTTTCTTATCAGACTTATAAAATTACCCATTTGGGCCGTTTCTTCTCTTCTGTATCTATGTCTGCGACTGAGACCAAAACACCAAAACACCAAAACCAAAATCTTCCTTCTTCTTCTTCTGTAATTTTTCTCAGATGCGGCCAAAACATTTTGGGTTAGATAGCAGGTAACTTTTTCTTCACAGACATCGTTTGACACAACAATGGTGGTTTTGATGTATCACCTCGATTAGATGTCCGATTTCATGTATCAAAGGATTTGATGTATCACAACCTCATTGATACATATAACTCCCTCTTCCCTGTTTTTAATCTCACATTTCTTCAAAACCCTAGAATTTTCATTTCAAGGTTCTATCACCAAGGGAGAGAGGTGAGAATATGGTCATTCCAAAAGATGAGCGCCAAAATACGTCCGTCAAAGTTGGGGTTAGTGATTTGTATGACTAATAACTTCTGTATTTTGTTAGATTTGTATGCGTATATCCTGAATCATACATCTATATGCAGGCAACTGCAAGCCTGAGACAGTTGGGAGTTGATGCATCTGAAAGAATTATGCAAGCTGTAAATATTACTCTTCCGCAAACTTCTTTTCTTACCTTCACGATTTCCTCCTGTTTGAAGATTTCCATTTTTTATTAGTTGTTATTAGGGTCTTGTTTTTGAGCTCTTATGTGTCTTCGGGCTTAACCTGAAACTCCTTTTGATATTGGTTTGAAAGACACCACATTCCTTGTCATATCGTATTCTTGCTTTGCATAATAAAACCTTTATCATACCTACAGGTGACCATAAATTATCTGTTAAAAGATTTGATAAGAAATATTCAGACACTGTTGGGGTAGTTGATATGTGTGGTGGATCATTACAAATGTTCATATCTTTCCTAAATAAAGAACTTACACAATAACATCACATTATAAAGACAATAATAACCTACAAATATGTGATATGATAAAATACATTGTTGTGCATCAACTTTGCATCACATCACATGCTTTTGCATTAGAAGGCAAATGGTATTTTTATCTRGATTAACCTTCCAAATTATGCGTTGTGGCATTTATTATGGAGAGACCTAATGATCATTGCTGAATTTATTTAGGATTGAGATATATTTTGCTACCTTTTGATCTGATCATATCAWTGTATTTAGGAGTCACTACCTATGGAGATGTTTTGTTGTTTATGGTACTTTTTGCTGTCATACTCACTGTCTCATTCAAGTAAGTAAATCTCTTCAGTTCATCAAAGAATTTTCACTATTTTCTTTACCTTATTGCATATTTATAATGTTTTTGGATCTATAAAGCCATCATAAAGTAACCAATGTCTATATCTAACACTGAAATGCTTAGCGGAAATGGAAAAATTAAGAACCTGAAGTTTCATGGCAGATTTTTAGCTGCTAAATAGAGTTTTGTATTATAACTTATAAGTTCAAGTGTCACCATGATTTTGCTTTGATAGAGTTAAATTGCACTTTGTATCTTGTCCGCTGATATGTCCATTTCTATCCAAACTTAAGAAGACTTCTTATCCATTCAAATATTGCAGTTAAAAGTTGCTATATCACTTTCATTTAACTTGCTCTGTATCTTCCTTGCTCACAGTGTACAAAATGTTTATGAGGTTTTACAATCGAGAAAAGGAAGCATGTTAAACGCCTTGGCTATGGTAGCTATATTTTCTTGTGAACTGTACTGTTTGTTGGTCCTTAAGAGATTTATTTGTTGTTTTATTATCTTTTCTTGATAGCTTGTTCCATTTGGCGTGCTGTTGGGGGTAATTCTGCTCTGGTATGCACCTTCTCTTTTGTATCGTTTTGTAGGTTCTCGAATATAATCCATCACAATCCACTGCTTCCATCCATCTTCCTTCAACCTTCAACCTTCAATCCATCTTCCAGGTAATTACTTCTATGGATGCATGTACTTCTTCATGTTCTTATGCTTTGGTATCTTATATCTTAATCACTCTTTTCTTTCTTAACACCAAAATTTACAAGTTTTCCCATCTTATCATGAATTTGTTTTGGCTTATTCATATATCTCATAATGAATTTACAACTTTCCTTAATTCATTGTTGCTTATGCCGATTAACATTTGACAAAAGTTGATTGTCCATTTGCCCTTGCTCCTATCTCCAATATGTTTTTGTATGCATATACAATTTTTGTAGATTCCTTCAATAGTCGCTTTCTCTATTACATATACATTGGTGGTGCTTTGTGTTTGAGTAGCCGACTTTGAGTAACCGGCTTGATCAAATACATTCTAATCTTTATTTTCTTATTTAGATTTTATGCAACACTAACTTGTTAAATGATATTACATATTTGGACACGAGGTGCTTAGTTTTAAGGTATTGCTAATGTTGCTCTTTATGCCTCCTGTCTTAGGTCTTTTCTAGGCTTTGTGTTTTTAGCATAAATTGGTCTTTTGTTAATAAAAACCGGTGAAATAGAATAAAAGTTGGAACTTTGTGTGTAGAAGGGGAGGGGTTTCTGGTGTTAGTTTAAACTTTATTGTTGATTACTTTGGGGGTGCTTTGTGTTTTCATGTAAATATGACTTTTTGTTAGAAGGGGATGAGAAAAGAACTTATCCTTTGTTATCAATTCAGCTTAGCCACTTTCATGTAACCGTTGTAGGCCTATTTCCTTTGTTGTTTTAAAGAACTTCAATTCTTAAATCTTTTTTAAGTGAAATGGCTAATGTTGATTATATACAAGTTGTACCTTAAACATTTTTTTTGCTTTGGAGATTATAATGTTATATGGTGATAATCTTGAATTTTCAATTCATAAATCGAATTTACGTTTATATTTGTATATTTGCA